GTGCTCTGCCTTTGCTACTGATGCTTAGCTAGCTCATTGGGCAACCATTCGGAATTATGTGCAGATCATGTGGTCAGCAAAAAGTTTGTTATAACAACTTCGGCACGTTTCGTGGTGCGTGACAAACCTTCTAAGCATCCGCGACTGTGGATTAATTTGTTCCAGCTTCGACTACGCATTCAGTGTTTGCGGCACCATACGCGGAATTGCCAGACACAGACAATGCGAAAAGAAATTCCTCTGGAAAAAGGTGTAGCGATGCTCTTCCGCTAATGCAACCGAGGACGAAATAATTATTGTTTCTGGCCATTCCATGGTGCACTTTGTTTTCCGCAAGTTTCGCTTCACTATTTTTCGCCCACTGCAATCGCATTCTGTCAAAATACTCAAAGAACCCGAGGCTGGTAAATAACCTGCGTCACTGTGCGGCTGGCTGGAAGGAGAGTTGCCATTTACAAGGAGTCATTCTTGAAGCGCAATTTGATTGCCTTCCGCGTCGAACCGCCGTCAGCCGTATGCGCCATAGCGTTTGCCTTTCGGCGCCGTCTTGGCGGCTTTCCCGCTCCCCCCTCCCCGCTCACCCCGGCCAGCGTTGCCCCCACAACGGCGGTGTAGATAAGCGAATAGTTGCGTCACCGAACACCTGCGTCGACAGCTGCGGCGCCGCCACCAGTGCCTCCTCCTTCTCTCTCTCAACGTTGCTCTCTCTGTCTCATACGTCTTTCAAATGCGTTGCGTTGGTCTGGGGTCTTGGTCGCTGTGTGAGTTCTAGCGAACAGGCGCATCTTTAATGGTGGTCACGCATGACACCGTGTTCGAAGGGACGCTCGGATTAAGGAATATTCATGGAGTGGCGGACACGGACAACGTGGGCCTGTTAACGGTGAGTGTACTGTTTTCGTAGGTAGTAATTATACAGCGCTAGCTGGGCGCCTGCAGCAGCTCTGCCGAAGTAGGCTGCCAGCCATTTACAACAGCATGCGTTCGCGGTCCAGTTGCAGATGCCCGATTAAACGTGTGACTTAACGAGTTCACACTGCTATGCGCGATGTTGTGTAAGTGCCTGCATCACGCATACAGTGAGTGATGTGATCACTTAAAACAAGGGCGCGATTCGTTGCTGATCACAGATTGTCTCTACACTGCTCAAAGTGATTGATATTGTTGCAAGATGCGCTTTAGGCTACATCGTAATAACATTTCTACTAATACTCAAATATGCAGCGTGCTTTTGTAAATGTAAGCGTAAAAAAAGAAAGAAAAAAATTATGTACAGAGGCGCACGAAATGGCTTTTTTTTATAAAGACGGTATAGTTTGAGGTGCTGATATGCCGCGATGCTCCCAGCACGTGCGCGTCGGTCTTTTTAAAATATTTAGGACACGTGTCACCAGCAACAGGGAAAGATCTAGTAGACTTCCAAAGGCGCGTTGTTGTGGCCATCGCCGTGTGTTGTTTTCCATCGTTTCTGTTTGCTGTTTTCGTGCTTTGCTTTCATCTGCGATAACGTTCGGCGTTATAACAGAATTGAGAGAGTATACGTGACTGTGGGAGCTATGTGTGGTAGCTCTAGCATAATCCATGGCTGCTGCAACGTAGTCGGCGTCCGCGCGCGTTGGTGTCGTTCGAGCGCTCCTACTTGCTTGATTGTGTTTAAATGAGTATTTAGGCACGGGTTACGCTTGTAAATCCCGTGGTCAATAATCGCTAATAACGTGCCCCTGATTGCCATCAGAGGATGGGCTTGGTTGTCGAAATATGCCAGACGCTTTTTCTGAAAGCAAGCTTTGAAATTTTTTTAAAGAAATACTTTCATACGTGCTAGGCAGTGCCTATTGCAGGCCCGCAACTTTTTAAAAACTGGACGAGCTATCACATCTTTTATCAAATTACAATAAATTAAGATGATTGAATTATAGATGGCGAATTTCTGTGCTAGATTAGGGGCACAAAATACATGTTCGCAGCCCTACGTCTAGAAAGCAGGCAAACAGGAAGCACAGCGTCAAATTTGGATTAGATGCCATTGACGGAGCTTCTTCTGAGAGTAGAAAGAACGAGAAAATTGTTCATTTTTTATGCCTTTATAGAGGCAGTCAGAATTGCACTGATTGCTGAATTGTCACAATTCCTCAGATTGTTAGAGGTGTGATTAAAGTCAGTAAATCTTCTACTTTTTTTTTGCAGACCTCTTCGCTAGTGCCACGCCCAATAGCATTTGTTCTCATGTAAAAAAGAAAGCAGAGATGCCTTCACTGTTTGTACATGAAGAGGTAAGTTTCTTGTGCGTTTTGATTAATGCTACATGTTCTGAATGTTGTACTTTAAGAACTGTTTTTCACACTGGCTCATTACCCTATAAGAAATTTGATTCTTAGGTGAGTTCAGGCTTTCGTAAGTGGCATTTTTGAGCTGTAGTCTTACAGTTCACCTCAATTCGGGAATTTGCTGTATGCTGGAAAACTATCTTATCTTTATCATACGAAATTATTGGAATGTATGGGTTGCATGCTTCGAGTTCAGTGTAATTTCAATTACACGCCATTTCAATGGATATACACTACACATTCTTCATATATGGTGCTGCGGGAACAGCACGAACATCCTTTTATGAGAAGTTATATTTACTCTTATTACAGGATGAGAGGGTGCCGCTGACGTCCTGCGTAGTCTACCCCGGCCCCAGCCTAGAGCAAGCCTAGTTTCTGAACCTCCACGTGGATGACCGAAAAATCTTCCGTGTCAGTAATGACGAAGAAGGAGTGACAGCACATATGAGTTGATTTTTTTTTATTTTCAACATTGTCTACGGCCGCAAGGCCTTTAACAACCACCGTGATTGAGCGGCTTTTTCTCGGCGTGAGTTTGGAGTTTATCAAAGAAGTTGTTCAGGCAGTACGACGCTGAAAATTTTTTGTGTCACAATGCCTGAACAACTTTTTCTAGTGTGGTCCTGGTAGATGAACAAATAGTGTTATTTGTGTAAGTTATTTTGCTTAAATATAGCTGGACGATTCCATGCCAAACGTCCCAGCCACTTTGGCGACCATCTGAAATGTATTTGAAAAAAAAAATGTGCTGACTTACTGCGTTGAAAACAGTGAACTGCTAGAATATTTCAGCGAGAAAAAAAAGTTTTGTTCATGTGGCTGGCTTATAACTTCCTGGCATAACTTCTAACTAACTTATAACTTCCTGGCGTCTGGGTGCTGTTTGTGGAAAATTTCATTTTAAAACTACCGCTTATTTTTTCTAAAGCAAATTCGGTCTACATGTTAAGTAAATGTGCTTGTGTAAGGTGTTTGAAGCTCAATAATATTAGTGCAATTTTTTCGCCACATTCGCTTCCAAAAATGAAGCCAAAATGTGTTATGTTTGCATTCTTTATTGCAATATTGCACTTTGTATGAATATCTGTGCAGTGAATACTCACTCTACAGAAAGTATGTTTTGAGGAAAAAATATCTTTAGACCTCTCAAGCTGCTGAAATATACGAGAAAATATCACGAATTTCACAAAATCGTGATTTTCGTCCGTATTGAGATGCAATTCGCTCCATGTGGTGATACAATGAAAACTCATCATTATACCTAAATTGTAAGAAAATGCAATTCTTTCTATAATAAAAATCTTATCGCAAAAAGGACAGAAAAGAGCGCTGTCAACTGAATTTTATTGAAGGTGCTACGAGCGTTTTTATACTGAGCATAAGAACAGGGCTCATCTGCAACAACACATGTGTGACCATGACAAAAAGAATACTCTTTTTTTGGAAAAGATAAGTGAAGGTGTACTGATGCATTGATCCTTGGCCTTTCTGGTAAAGAGTTCTAAAATCTCTCATTTTTTCTGCTTGCTTTTTTTTCAAAAACCGTGTTTTATGAAACCTAGGACTACACTTACATTCTTTACGGTGTCCGGCCATGAGACTACTATAGCCCTTCTTGACATTTAAAGCATGCTGTCTTGCTTGATCATTGAAGCTTTACCCAGTTTGTCCTATGTTTACTTTTCCACATGTTAGCGGTATCTCATACACATTAGATTGGCATTCAGTAAACCTATTCTAGTGACGAATGGTGCAAGATTGACTATTCCTGTTGCTGTAAGTACATGCACTTTTGAAAGCTTGCAAGAGGTGGAAAACAACAATGTCATATCTGCTGGCTCTTTTCCTAAAATTGTGAGACACATTATGTACGTAGTACCGTGTAACATGCAAAGGTCATTGGTCATTCTCTTTTCCTTTTGGTCCTGTTTCCTTTAACTTTACTTTCTGCAGGAGGGTTTCGCAAACAAGTGTGATGATGCTGTTGGGGTATTGGCTGGTGCTATTAGCCCAGGAGTGCTAAGAATGTTCTGCCTTTTCATAGTGGGCATTTAAAATTAGTAGAAAGAGGAATTGATACCACATGTATTCAGGCCACCCTTCAGAAGTCATGTTAGCACAAGGGTGAGGTCAGGCTTAAAAACCAGAATCAAAGACTAAAAGATGCTGGATATCCCTACAGAATCATCACACCCACTTGCAAAACCCTCCTGCAAAAAGTAAAGTCAAAGAAGACAGGACCAACAAAAACAATGACCAAAACCTTTGCATGTTATACCACATCACGTGTCTCACAATTAAAAAAATGTCCAGCAGATATGATATTAACGTGTTGTTTTCCACCCCTTGCAAGCTTTCAAAAGTGTGTGTACTAAACAGCAACAGGAATAGTCAATCTTGCACCATTCCTCACGAGAATAGGTTTACTTAATGCCAATTTAACGTTTGTAGAAGTATTTTTTATCAGGTAAACCAATGATCAGTGCATCACTACACGTTCACTAATCATTTCCGAGAGGGAGTATTCTTTTCGCAGTTAAGATTATTTTGTAGTGCTCACACGTGTCGTCGCGCATGAACACGGTTCTTGTACTCCGTATAAAAGCGCTCGTAGCACATTCATTAAACTCAGTTGACAGTCGGTGCTCTTTCCTGTCCTTTCTGTCTCTTCCTGAAGTTGTCGCGCTGTGACTAGCACACAACCACAATGAACCAACTCGCCCAAATTAAGCTCTTGTTACGTAACACGTAGACCGAGTTTCGTATAGAAAGAAGGAGCGGTGCTTTTAAAATAAAATTTTTCACATACAACACCTAGACGGCATTCTAGGAAGTTCAGAAGGCAGCCACGTGACCAAATATTTTTCCTCTCCTAAATATTCCAGAAGTTCACTATTTTCAATGCAGCACGAGTTTTTCGAATACATTTGAGATAGTTTGCAAAATGGCTGGGACATTTGGCATAAAGTGACCCAGCTGTGTCATTAGCCATAATTATGCATTACCTCTTTTGTTTTTTGTGTGTCCTGACTCAGTTTTGTGTTTGTTTTTAGCTTATTCTGTTTCTAATCATTGTATTGGTTTTTTAAGTATTCGCTAAAGTTATATGTGCGAAAACCCGTATATGTTTGCATGTACATCATTTCTCATAACCAATTGTTATACATCCAGGAATACAAAGCTTAAACCACTGTGATTGTATACATTTGAAAACACTATCCGTATATATTTTTGTGTGCATCACTTCTTGGGAACGATTGTGTACATGAAGGCGTATATAGTGAAATCATAATGATTGTATATATTTGACAGAATTATAAGTATATATTTGCATGTATTTCATTCCTATTAACCGATTGTGTACATGAAGGAGTAATGAACTGGAAACCACTGGGATTTTAGATACATGAAAGAATTATAGGGATATATTAGCGTGTACTTCATTTGTAGTCTCTATGTACTTGAAGCAGTATACTAAACTAAAACCAGTGTAATTGTATGTTGCAAAGAATTGTCAATAAAGTGAAACTGAAAAAATATAATAAACATTTGAGGTGTTGCGTGTGTAGTGTACGTATACGTCAACATGTTACACATCTGGTGAAAAAGTTGTGTGGCAGAAGAAAAGATTATAAGTTTTATTTGCCAATAAATAAATGCCATATGCAAGGGCAGCAAGGCTTAGTTTTCTGTAACGCGCATTATGCATATACTGTGAAGTATATATAGATCCAGCAGAATTTCATACACGATTGTACGTGTTTATATTTTTGCCCACACGCAATGAATGGAGCTCGACAGGTGGTGCACCATTGATAATCAGGACCACTTTCTTCAAGTAGTGTGTAATCAGTGCATGCTAATATCTATTAATTCAGTGTAAAAGAATACTGGCACCCCTGCCATGGGCACTCAACACCTTTGTGCACCCTTCTCGCACCCTCCTCAGAGGGTGCTAAAAAAGTGAAGGACATCGAAGGCACCCTTCCTTAAGGGTGTTTTTGTAACACCCTACAGTTTTTTTACATGTACACCCTATTCTAGGGGTGCATGGAAAAGCACCCTTTTATGAAGGCGCTGAATTAACACCCTTAGGGTGTCGTCCACGGGACAAGCTTATTTACATCCTTCTGGGTGTAAAATTTTTTTACTGTGTTCCAGTTGTAAAAGACTATGTCTACTTAGGGCAGGTAATAACCGTGGAGGCGAACCACGCGATTGAAGTAACTAGAAGAATAAGAATGGGGTGGAGCACATTTGGCAAGCACTCTCAAATTATGACACGTAGATTGCCACTATCCCTCAATAGGAAGGTATATAACAGCTGTATCTTGCCGGTACTTAGCTACGGAGCAGAAACCTGGAGACTTACAAACAGGGTTCAGCTTAAATTGAGGATGACGCAGCGAGCAATGGAAAGAAAAATGGTAGGTGTAACCTTAAGAGACAAGAAGAGAGCAGAGTGGATTAAGGAACAAACGAAGGATATCATAGCTGAAATCAAAAAGAAGAAATGGACATGGGCCGGGCATGTAGCGCGTAGACAGGATAACCGCTGGTCGTTAAGGGTAACTAACTAAGTGGGTTAGGGGGAGACAGAAGGTTAGGTGGGCAGATGAGATTAAGAAGTTTGCGGGTATAAATTGGCAGCAGCAAGCACAGGACCGGGTTAACTGGCGGAACATGGGAGAGGCCTTTGTCCTGCAGTGGACGTAGTCAGGATGATGATGATGATGTTGATGATGATTGTAATTGCAACGGATGCATCTATGAGTGGCGAGAAGGCAGGTGTGGGTATTTTTTCTCTCTCATTATTCTGGTCATTTTCATTACGCCTCCCAGATTATACACCAATATTTGAAGCGGAATTAATGGCCGTTATACTAGCTAATTGTAAACTTCCTGCGAGTCATTCGGCAGCTGTGATAGTGACTGACTCGTATTCCGTGTGTTCATTTTTATCATCGTCGTCGACATCAGCAGTACTAGAAACGTTTAAATCACTAATCCCAGCAAACATTCGTGTAGTGCGAATGATATGGGTGCCAGGCAATCGTAGTATATTTATAAACGAGATGGCTGACACACTTGCACGAACATCTCTTGATCTTCCGATTGTGCCAATCATGCCTCCTACAGCATATGTAACAGCAGCGAGGTTTAGAAAACTTTCCCTTCTTGAAGACTCATAAAAAATCACGATATATACCGAATCCAGATTTCTCGCACCTGCACTTCACATGGAATAATAAATGGTGTCCCACGCGTAAATTGGAAGTCTTGATAACAAAATTACGTTGCCGTGTACCACCTCTTAATTTCTACTTAAACAGGTCTGGTCTGGTGAAATCCCCTCTGTGCTCAAGCTGTAACGAACCTGAACATATCGACCATTTTCTTATCACATGTCACCGTTTCAAAAATCAAAGAAAAAATTGTTTCGAAATTTTATTTAGAAAACTACAAATATCACTTAATACTCCCAATATTTTGTCTTTTGGGGCCACTTCATTGGGACACAGCGACAGGAACATCTGCGGGGCTCTCTGCGAATTTATATATAACACGAGAAGATTACCTTGCTGAGTCAGTGATCAGCTCTCGAATTTTACTAGCCACGCTACCACTTATTATTTAGCTGATACACTGCAATGATTCAACTTTCAGAAGAATTTCATATAACGATTACACCTCAGATATTCAACAAATTCTATTATTTCTCTCCTCCTCCCCCCTTTTTTCCTTTTTTACATTGCACCAAAATAATTTCACAATCAAAACACAGTAATCATATTCCCCTGGTCTAGAAAACCTAAAGGTATTGACTTGCATTACCCACCGGCTTCTTGGCCAATCCCTCTTAGAGGGTGAGAGCCACAAAAGAAAGGAACAAGCAAGCAAGCAAGGGAGCACTGCACAGGCCTGACCACACGCAACCGTTGCAGCGCGCCAGTGCGCGTCTTTCTTGACGAGGCGTCTCCCCGCTCTCTATGCAGAGAAAGGGCACGCAGCATCGCGAAGCCACGCACTCTCCCTTTCCATAGAGAGAGGGGCGACGCCTCGTCAAGCGTAGCTGCGCGCCCTTTCTCTGCATAGTGTTGCGAAGCGCGCCTTCGATGACGTTACGAAGGGCGCCACGAATCTCACCGCTGCAACCACTGTTTCGAAAGACGGCGACGCCAACACGGTCCCGAAGGCGCGACTACTTCGAATTCCGCCGGGAAAGTCACCAGCCGTTTGGTAGCGTAGGTTTTTCAGCTCACGACTGCTTCTGCGCAGAGCTGATAGACGAGCGGACGAGACGACGGTGAGTTAAACAAGGTTTATGTACAGCATATATACAGAGGCATTACAAATTCGGCACTGGGGCCGACAGCTTAGAGACCCGAAGAGCCGAGCTCTCCTCTCTAACACATAGCTCTGCTCTCAGATAGGTCTGCTCTCGCGACGCGCCGCTGGGCTTCTTTTATATGCACCGGGTGGATTCTTTGAATAACCAAATGTCCAACCAGAAGCGCCACTGGACGTGAGGTCAGACTCCTCCAATGGGGTCGCCGCTGGGACGCGTCATTCTTTCTCATCGAATCTGGAGAGGCTGCGCTGCAGGTGGCTGCGCCCAAAAACGAGTGACGTCGCCAGGCATTGCGTCAGACCCGCCAGACAGGAAGGCGCCGGTTGCTTGCTCGACGGGCTCACTGGCTGAAGTGACTCACTGTGCGTGCGCGGCAGAGAGGCACCGCCGCGTGTTGACGCCGTTGAGTTGTTCGCGTCAGGCGGGCTCGCGGGCTGGCCTTGACAAAGATTGCCTTTTTCAGAGGCATGGACGTTCGCTGTGGACTCGCAGGCATAACAATAGAGAGAGGGCGCGGCGGCACGTCAAGAAAGACACGCGCTGCAACGGTAGCGTGTGGTCAGGCCTTAAAAGGAAACTCCGGTGCATTTTCGACCGTACTGAGATAATACTGTTTTCAAATAGCATTGACAGTCCTGCAGCAGCTACACTGATTCATTATGCCCAGGGTCTCGTCAATTATTTTAATTAAGCAATGAACGATCAGTCAAAACAGAAACCGATACAGGGGTTGCGATGGCAATGGTCGTGATGGCGATACGGCTATACTCTTTGAATCGGATCGCCTGCACCCCATGCGCGGCGTAACCTGAACAAGAACCAAAAAAAAAAGAAAAAAGAACCGCGGTGCGCACCACTACGGAAACACCCTCAGATTTGCTGATATCATCGCGACGCTCCGTACCGGCACAAGTGTTCAAACCGTTGCTTGGTAGTTTCCACTTGTCATCTGGTACGTGTTTCCACGCTGGTCCTCGCTTTCGACAAAACCGAGTGCAGTCTGCGGTGATGTTGTCTCGGAGGGCGGGAGAATACCCGGACACTGGATAACTATGTGCTCGATCGTCTCATCTGCTGCATTGCAAATGATGCATTGTGTCTGCAGCCCGTCAACGTATAGTGAGCCCTCCAGTATCGAGAACGTAGCGCGCCATACAGAGCGTGCCTCCGCCAGCAAACCGCTTCCTCGTGAGTTGTCGAAAAACCCTTCCCTGGCAATGACTCGCTTCCCCGTCATATACGCGATCATGGACGACATCTTCTCGGTCGCTTTCACCCACTCTTCCGTTTCTTGCTGCCGCACCAGCTGCAGTGTACTGACTGCTGGCTCCGCCACGTGCACTTCACCCTGTGTTTCCAAACAGACCGTGGGTGGATGGTATCGGTCCCGCAGACTGCGCGTCTGACGTGCCCACCTTGTCGACCAGCTGGCAATGATGATGTGCACCCAGACCGGTCGCGCGAGGTTGGCACTAGGGAGGCGCCTGAACCGCTTCTCGTACGTTGCATTAGCCACCGCTTCACGAGCCACGGAGGAGGACCACCCCATGTACCCCTGTATCGCCTCGACCGGTGTCTGCCGGTGCACGCCCAGGGCTATTCGGCCGGGCTCTCTCTGACGCCTTTCTGGTACTGGATGAGATCCGCAACACCGCATTCCCACACGTCAGCCTGACACAGCTACCATCTTCCACAGCCCCCCCCTTCCCCTCACTTCGTACCCTTTAAAGGCCCACAAAGTCTGCCTACCAAAAATGCCCCAGTATCTTGTTGCCTTGATCTTCATCGCTTGCTCGTACTGCTCAAGATATATTGACCCTGAGTTCAAGTGCACTCCAAGGTACTTTACATTGTCTGTGGACTGTAGGGTGCTTCCTTCTAGAATCCATCTTTCTCTAACGTACCTTTTTGGTCCCCTAATCATTACGCCCCACTTTTGTGGATTGAACCACAGGTGGAGCGTGGCCATCCTGTCCCCACATATGTCCAGCAGGTCCTGGAGCTCGTCCGGTGAGTGTACCAATACGGCAATGCCGTCTGCGTACATCAGTGCTGGAATCCGCGTCGTCACCACCTGCCTGCATGGAACAGTGCAGGTGGCGCTCTGTCCTCCACGGTGGGTATCGGATGACGTCACAAAAATCCACCTCCGATGGCGTCACGAGATCCGCTTCACCCCGCCAACGCCTAGCCAGGGTGTAAAAATAGCTCGTGTGTCTCTTCTGACGCGCGAAAAGCAAATTGGCGATGTTATCCGACACGGAATAAAGCTGCACCAGCTCGTCGATCTTAGCTTACTAGTGACAAGTTCAGCGATGATTGCACCTACTATCTGAGCGTGGAGGCATTGATTTTTTATTTCGACCCGCCTGTGCATGAAGCATCTGACGGGCCCCGAAGCGATCTTCTCGTTGCTCAATATTGTAAAACCCGACGTCAACGGCGACTAACAAACACACTGTACGCAGCTGACGGAACTGATCTTCTCGCGTCGTCGTCGCCTCGTAGAAGAAAGCGCGCACTGTATCCATCTGCTGAGAAAGGAGAGTTTTTTAGAAAAAGAGTAGCCACTTACGCGTTTACAAGTGTGATTCGAAGATCGGCTACCAATTTCAAAAGTTCGTTTGTAGAAGGCTAAATGACCTATGGTTGTATAATTTGGCACATATCACCACGGTGCCGGCGAGAACACATGTTCAAAATTTTTTTTGATATCGGTGAATACGCATAAAAAAAAACGCCTGAGTTCGCCTTCACCGGTGTGCCAAAAAGACGTCGAGTGGTACGAACAAGAGACGAGACTTTGCGGACTGGACCCACTCCCATTTCGTGCGGGCGAATTAAGTGACGTAGACCTGTGGCCACGTGTCGACAGCTCTGATATTCACGAATTCCTCGTTTGGGCGACGAGATTGCCCGGGAGCAGTTAGGTCGAGAGAGGCCTTCGAGAGCCACGACTTTTGCGACGAGTGGCTAAATGTGGGAGCAGTAGGTGAAGAAAGTCGACACCGTCATCGTCGTCCCTCAAGTAAACATTGGTTCACCGAACTTCTAGCGTCCAGCTCAGTACCATTGAACAACCGCCCTAATGGAGTTTGTCTCGTCGGGTATTGTGCAGAAAATACAGCTTTCAGTTGCTCCCTTTATTCCGATGTCAGCCAGCTTACAAGCACTCGTTTTGAAGAAAGGACATCTTGCTCATATTCCGGGTGAACATGACTATTGAGGAGGAGCGCCTGCATCGTCGAGTTAAGGCAACGGCCAAGTGAGACCAGTGGGGTACTGGCAGAGCTGTGGCTGATTCCGGTTCAGAAGCGAAAAGTTTCTTCAGACTTATACAGATGAGCAAGAAGGCTGGAACTTGATGGCTTACCAGATATTAGCACTCCGTTTGCTACCCTGCACTGGCATATGGAAATAGGGCTTCAAAAGAGCATGCTTAGTGTTAGAGAAAAGAAACACAAGCAGAGGCCGGCATGTTGCTGTGCAATCTAGCTTGAGTAAAAAAAAAAGTAGAGTCGCGATTGAGAGATACGTTATTCGCACACCATTAAAAAAAACCACTCTCATATCTATAAATAAAATGCGCGCTTCTGCTTGTTCCGGGCAGCGGTTCATACCGGGCAGTGGTTCATACAACGTGCAAAGTCTATGGTTCCAGCCACGTCTGAAACAATGGTGTCCTTCTTCGCAGATTTACACTTGAGTGAAATAGAAAACCAGCTTAGATTAGTAAGCTTTATTCTAAAAATTCTAATTTCGTTAACCGCACCTTCATACATTTGTTATTACAGGAGAAAGTTAGTCAAAGTTCCATTTCGAAAATTTTGCGCCGGGACCTTTGTGAGTGAGACCATGCATTTATAAATATTTGGTGCTTTAGCGATACTGGCTCACTGAAATTTCCGGAGCCTTGTATGCTACATATATGGCACCCTCAGAGGATTGTGCGCGTAACTTTGGCTCACAGAGTTCCTAGTAGACTCCGTAAAAACATAAAACCCCACGGCGTTTGGTGAGGGAGTTTCAAAGTGGTGTCACCACGCGTTAAAGTTTCGCGCGTATTCTCACTAGCCAAGAGCCTTCTCGCGGCAAGTGTGGTGATCTTAGAATTGGGAAATAATAATTTAATAATGTAGCAAATACCGCTTTCTCTCTTTTTTTACGTCCCTCTAAAGTGCTCGTCAAATATGACGATTAAAAATATCGCAGCGAAATTTATTAATGTGTCAACTAAAGCCTCAATAGACGAACTATCAATCGTTAACCGATTAAAAGCTTTATTTGATGAACGATTAATGACACCAGTGTCAGTGTCACCTCCAGTGACACTAACACTGGTGGAGGTGTCCCCCGTCTCATGGCCAACCTTGGAGGCGAAAACAGTATAGCTGTTGAGTTAAGCTTTCGATGGTCTAGGCCATGGACCCGGGGGCCGTATGCTAGACACGTTGGTCTTCCCCGACCTTGAAATCCCTTTAAGAAAGCTGTCCACAATAGACGTGACTTCGTGTAAAATTTTAGTACTGACACGCGAACAGTATAAACTAGAAATAACCCTTCAAGATTATTAGACTGAACATATAGTAACTGCAGACTGGCTAAAAGCGCGGGAAAACGGCAGGCAAGCCGAGGTCATCTAAGGAATCACGTGCTACCACAGAACACAGCTTTACAGATAGCTGAGAAACACGGAAAGGGGAAAAAACAAAGAAACTTTTACTACTACTACTACTGCCCCGGCCTCTCGATGCATGTGCACCCCCCCCCCCCTTACTGCGTCGCATCGCTTCGCATGCCAACTCGCATAGTCCGAGAAATCTACCCTTCCTCAGAAACTGGGATAAATGAACAGAACCTTAGTCATATAAAGCTTTGCTGTGAAACATGACATTGTTAGCCACATACCGTTCGTAAAGAAATACTGTTTCTTTGCCGGTCATCGAGCAAGTACGTCATTGTTCACACGTCTCGATGCTTGGGTGTGAAGCAGAACATTTTTGCGCCGCCTGCATAGCGTGCTCGAATTCACTTGCATGCAGTTGGCGCAACTTGATGCCGTCGCTGCCATATTGTGATCCCTGTGATCTGGTGGCGACGACTTTCCGGAGGCTTCCACAAAGTTCAATACGGGCGCCGGTTTTGCTTTCCGAAGGCTCTTGACGTCCTAACAGCCGACTCGATCCGATCCGAGCCACCGGGGAAAAGTTTTTTTTGTGGCCCAGTTTTGACGTCGGTGAACGTCCGCGAGCTCTTTACTTAATCGTTGTTGGCGGAAGAGTGGTGAAGTTTTTCAATACTGTTGGTTCAGTGATGACTGGAGACACTTCAGACGACGCCGTAGATGTAGTAAGGTTCGCTCGAAGACATTTGCAGAGTGCTCGGGCTAAAATACTCTGTCGATTTCTCTGTGCAGTCTGTTATAATCCCTGTCTTTAACGGCGAGCAATGGATCGACGAATGCCTCAGCTCAGTGGCACAACAGGAATTCGACGGTACATTGGAAGTGTCCATCTACGACGATTCTAGCACGGTAATCTTTGAGACGTTGGAGTCACCGCATCGCGATATTTGGCACCATTTAAGTGATCTTTGTTTAAAAAAACATCGCAGGACGGAACGGTCAAACTATTGCGAGAGTGGAAAACGAAACTGGAATCCCGCGGCTGTTTGGTCCTCATTTCGTCGGGTGATCCGGGTTTCAAACCAAGAGGAGGTGAACTCACGCACGTATAAGGGAGGGGGGTGTTGCGAATCACTCAATTTATTCTTTGATTTGTTGTAGTTGGCTTCGCAAAAAATGCCGCCGTGCGACAGAGCAAAGGCCGGTACCTTTGCTTTCAGGACATCGTGAGTTCAAGCTGCGGGTCTTATGTCTTTAGCGAGTGGCTAAGCAGATTGAAAATTTCTTTTATGGCATGCAGGATGACGTCATGCACCCGTCCCGCGTTCAAGAGCAGTTCTGCGAAGCTACAAAACAATTGCCCAACACGGTGAGACTTGTTTGAAAACACCTGTCATGGTTTAGTATTTAGAACAGTTATGTAGGCCTGTCAGACTGCATGATTTATTTGAATACAAACTAACAGAAATGTCAAAACAGAACGAAGCATGAAGCAATAATAAGATTCGATCACAGCATCAAACCAGTAATCCCAATGAAGCACTTTGATATTCTTAATCTGGATCACACAGGTTAAGGTTTATTTCTCGACACATGCAAAAAAAAAAAGAAATGCAATCTGCTTTCTATTTCAGATTGTTGGCTCCCAGTATCACCGTTTGCCAGAAGGATCGACTGAACGTTATACGTTGTGGGCCAACACTCTTAATCCAAGGAAGCTCACCGTTCAGGTAACAGGCCGCTGAATTGGTCGTGTGATGCTTAGGCATACAGGCATAGAATAGAAACGAGCGACACAAACATGGACTATCAAATCATGCTGCACTTTTTCCCTTCACTTCTGTCCGTGTGTGCATGTCTCGCTTTTTTCTTATAACACAAATTTATGATATAAAAGTCTACCATCCTCAGCGATGTAGTTAACCGATCCTAATGCTGCCTAACTCTTACTGGGTTACAATGGTCACCGAGATTTCGAGTTGCTTTTTCCTAAACTCTTGTATGCGAGCCGAACTTTTCCTATGATGTATCTCTACAAACAATCTAAATTTTCTATTAACCAGAATGAATATGATGATTTAGGTGGGAATAGTTGAGGAGTATGTATGTTCATGACACAGTGCATGTGTTGCCCTCTCTGTGCCTTGTTTTTCTTAGTGCTGTGATGTGATCCAAGCATACAAGGCTTGCTCTGTGAATCAAAAAACAATTGTTACTGAAGCTACAGTGCATTGCCAATGTAATATTTTTCAGGTTTACACGTCTTATGGACCCACTGTAATCATGCCGACATGGTTCTGCAGCAGAGCCGTCTTCGACGCTGTAGGTGGCTTCGGCGAAACTGGTAAGGTATAGGTTTGAGGCATGTGCTTTTTAATGTTTAGGTTACGTAGAGCAGTAGCATCGTCGCGGTGCTACAATTTACCCTGTTCTGCTGTCCGCCTTCCTTTAGGGAACTCCAGAAGACCTCATCTTTTTTTACAAGCATCTCGACCTAGGAGGGAATGTCGCCAGGGTGGAGAAAGACCTTCTCACCTACCGTTACCACCCACAACAGTCGACGTTCACGATAGCAGAGTAGGGCTTTTTTGAATTGTGCGGCACTTGCTCTTGACTATTATTTGTCTCGTGTGTGGCCCCGGGATTTATCCTGTACGAGAACAGCCACAAGATGGACGAGTTGCCAGAACTACTCGTCAGCTCCCCTGCACCCCAAAAAAATATTAGTGAAGCTCAGACTAAGTCGCACAAGGCTTGAAACTGTGCACCAAGACGATTCTGAAGACTAATTTTTTTGCTTCTAGCTTGTTTCTAGGCCTTAGCTAGGCGATGCTAGGTCATTTTCACATTGATTCTCAGCGCTGGGAGGCTCGGGCAGACAGTCACAGACACGACACGGTTGTGCAAACTCTGGAGACGGAAAGTAGTGCTGAAACTGAGCGTTTACACCTCTCGTAGATAGATCTATGGGCATGTCATCATTGATGTAAGCCTTCCATTGCTTCTGGGTCTTCTTGCAGCCGAAATTCGCTGTTCCCGTTTCCCAGTATTCTCTCATACACACTCTGCATCTTAGGCTCGCCGCTGCTCCTTCGCAGCCGTTTCTTAGGCTAGCTGTTGTTTCAACCACAAGCCTCGAACCGGAGACATAACAAGCTAGCTTTTGAACGGCCCACACGAGGCAAGCGCATTTCTTTTCAGAGGTACTGTACGCCTCTTCCCTGCCGCTGAGTTTTCGACCTAAATAAAAAACTGGCCTTTCGTTACCAGCACTGTCTTCCTGGCACAATACAGCTCCCATGCCACGATCACTCGCGTCGCATTGAATCACAAATCTCTTAGAGAAATCGGGTGCCATGAGAACGGGCTTTTCGCTTAGAGCCTATTTTAGCTTGCAAAACGCATTCTTCTTTTCTGAGTCCCATACTACTTTAACCAGCTCGGATTTTCGAAGTGCGTCAGTTAGAGGGCTGCCAATGCTAGATTAATTTTGAACGTAATGGTGATAGTATCCAGCCAGGCCCAAGAATGCCCTTATCTCAGATTTTGTGGTTGGTCGTGGATAGTTCACGACGGCGGCTACCTTAATTTCTGAAGGTCTACGCCAGCCACGCCCCACAACCTGCCCCAGGTAAGACACCTCGCCGCACACTAGGTGACATTTAGTAGGTTTCACGGTAAGACCAGCCTCTTTTAACCTACTCAGCACGACGCGTAAATGCTCGACATGTTCTTCCCAGCTGTTTGAGAAGATGGCGACATCTTCAAGATACGGCAGAGCGTACTCAGAGAGGCCTTTAAGAACGCGGTCCATTAAGCCTGAAAAATAAAAGGGCACATTTTTCAATCCAAAGCTCAGCTTAAGTGGACGATACGTTCCAAATGGAGAAAAAAATGCGGCATAGCGGCTGGCACCCTCTGTAAGGGGGACTTGCCAATACCCTCGCACGAGGTCTAACGTAGAAATATAGCTGGACTGTGACACAGTTTCCACCTTCTCCTCTAGGTTTGGTATCGGGTAAGTTTGGTCTCGAGTTATGGCGTTAAGACGCCGATAATCGATGCATGACCTCGGATCTTTTCCTGGCACCTGAACCAATATTAGAAGGGATGTATAGTCACTCTCGCCCGGTACTATGACTCCCAACTCCAGCATTTTATCGATCTCTTCTTTCATGATCTGCTTTTGCACGGGAGAACAACGATACAGCTTGCTACGGATTGGCTCCTCACAAGCTAGCTCGATATCGTGTTCGATCACCGTCGTGTTTCCGGGACGGTCCGAAAACACGTCTTGAAACTCGGAAATAATCCTTCTCAGGTCCTCCTTCTGGACTTCACTTAACCTAGGCTCTAGGTTCAACTGCTCCAAGATTACCTCCGATCCCCTTTCGATTACATCACTAAACTCAAAATTTCTTCTCCCTCTTCCTCTGAAGCATTCAACGGCAGATTTACGACCGCTTGACGTTGAACGTATGGTTTCATCAAGTTACTGTGGTAAATTTTGTTTGGCCGCCTTCCTAATTTCACTTCATAATTGGTATCAGAAAGCTTCGATATTACTTTGGCGGGCCCTTCCCAATGAACCTCAAGTTTGTTCTTTTTGGACGGCCGCAGCGGCATTACCTGACTACCAACTTCAAAAGCACGCTTCTTCGCCGTTTTGTCGTAGTACTCCTTCGACAACACTTGTGCAGCCTTCATGTGGCTTTCCACTAGATCTTTCGTTTTTCCAAGCCTATGAATGAGGTCTAGAACTTACGCAACTACATTAGGGTACTCATCGAAACCCTCCCAGGACTCACGCAGCATCCGCAATGGTGTTCTCAAAATTCTTCTATAGACAAGCTCTGCAGGGCTAAAACCAGTGCTCTCATTAGGAGCTGATCTCAAAGCGAACATAGCGGGAGGAATACACGCTTCCCAGTCGCATTTGTGCTCGTAGCAAAGAGCTCTCAGTATCCGTTTCAGAACGGAATGCATACGCTCTACCGGATTAGATTGTGGGTGATGGATCGAGCTGTGCACTACTTTTATTCCACAGTTATCCATAAACGTAGAGGTAAGGCAGCTGGTGAAGACACTACCATTGTGGCATTGGATTTCCGAAGGAAATCCGACGCGTGCAAATATGGATAGCAGTGCATCCACGACATGAGGGGAATTGAGCTCCTTAAATGGTATCGCTTCCGGAAATTTTGTGGCTACACAGAGAGCCATCAGGATGTACCGAGAACCTTGCCTTGACTCTGGCAGTTGGCCGACGATATCAATTACTAGGCACCGAAAAGGTTCTGTGATAATTGGCACAAGTTGCATGAGTGCCTTCCACTTGTCCGCGGATTTCCCCGCTCTCTGACAAGTGTCACATGAGCGTACAAAGTCTTCGATATCCTTCCAGCATTTCGGCCAGTAAAACTCAAGGGAAACTCTAGCCTTGGTCTTTTTTATGCCGAGATGCCCTGCCCATGCGTTTTCATGCGCCAGTTCCAATAGTTGGCGACGATACTTTTGTGGCACCAAGAGCTGCTCATACTTGCGACCTTGCGCATTTGTGTAGCTCCGATACAAAAGCCCTGCTTTCTCAAAAAAAAGAAACATTCCTTTCCTTTTTCCCAAGTTTACGCTTTCCATTAGCGCTTTTATCGAGAGGTCCTCACGCTGCTCTCGAATGAGCGTTTCTCGATCAACCCTCGACAGCTCACTCCAACTTTCCGCTACAGGCGAGAGCATTGCAGCCCTCTCGCTCTGATTCAATGGCGCCATGTCGTCTCCCCCTGCTACGGAAACCGCGCCGGTCGCTTCGGCGACGGCTCGCTCGAGTGACTGCTCACATGACTCACGCGGAAAATTTCCTCTCTGAGGTTCCGTCAACCCGCCGACAAGGTCACTTGAGAGTTCACCACATTGAACAAGATCAAGCTCTTGCGAAAGCTTCCGCGTTTGCGATCGCGTGAGGGCCATGTACGCTAAGTTGGGGAAGAACGATTTACCCTGCTCTTCGACAAGCTGCTCTGAGTTGTTAGAGAAAAGATAAGGAAAACGATCGGGAAGCGCGGCAGACACAGCCGCTTCGGTGCGAAGCTTACCGAACGGGCGGGCCTTCAATGACAACCGTGGCGATTGGTAAGCAAGCACTCTGCTCGTCGGCGACTTGCCTGATCCACACGCATTCTCCTGTAAAGTCATCCGGAGACACCAATGAAGGATGGTCAACGTCCATGGTTGCCGCTGAGTCATGAAGTGCTCGACACGTTTTCCCATTCACACTAATTTCTTGGATATACGGCTCTAACAACCGCATGTTCTTTTCCGATTCTCGGATTGTTGCAAAAGCAAACTTTTGCTTACAGTTTATCGCGATGTGCCCTTCCTTTTCGCGGTTGTAGGAGATTAGCGGCTTCCGTGATTCAAACGCCCGTGTGGTATGAGTGCGTTGTTTAGGAACCTCACTCGATTTCTCCGCTTCCGTTTGCCCTTCCCCTACAGTGTCCTTCGTAAGAGACGGGTCCTTCTTGAAATTACGGTGCGGAGGGGGTTTCCGTAGATCAGGTTTCTTTGAAAAGCCCTCTTTCCTTTCATCCTTTTCAACGCGCACTGCCCTGCTATGCAACTTTCGGCGAGTATAATACTCCTCAGCTAACTCTGCTGGCTTGTTTAGCTGTACTTCACCAAGTTTGTCCTGCCGCCAAAGTTTGACATCCTCCTCGATGCAGTGGTAGAATTGCTCCAATGCAACGCATTCCACCACTTTATCGCGGTCGTCATAAACACCTTCGCCCTTGAGCCATTCAATTAAATCGGCTTTAGGACGAAACGCGAAGTCAACGTGTGACTCATTTTCCTTTTTAGCATACCGGAATATTTGCCTGACAGCCTCTGGTGACAACTTATAACGTCTCAAGAGCACTTCCTACAGCTCGTCATAGCTCTCAAATGCTTCCCTCGACAAGCAAGTTATCGCGTCGGACACTTCGCCGAGAAGAAGAGCTAACAGGTTCTGCGTCCAAAGAGACCGCTCCAAAGCATTTCGCTCACAGACGTGTTCAAACTTGACGAGATACTTCGCCATGTCCTCGCCTACTACGAACGGTGGCAGTTGGTCGCGAATTTTCTGACCGCTGACCTGAACTGTCGCAGAAGCTACGCTTGGCGCCTGCGAACACTGTAGGATTGCCAATTCTATTCGTTTCAACTCGAGGCGCTCCTGTCTCTCGGCCTCCTCGCGGCGTTCTCGCCTTTGAGCTGCTTCACGTTCGCGAGCTTCTACTTCCCGCCTTTGAGCCTCCTCGCGGCGTGCTTTGATATCCTCCCAGGCCTTATTGACTTCCTCAGCCGACACTACTTCATCTCTCATGATCTCAAGGATCGCTTGCTTTCGTTGCGCACGGCCCAAAGTGATGCCGAGTTCCTCACAAATTTCGACGAGTTCCTTCACTTTAAGGTTCTCCATCGTTCACACTAGCCTCTTGCTGTTTGCCCCTGTTAAGAATTTACTTGCCGTACCCACTATAAGTCAACTAGCAAGACGCGCAAGCAATTTTTAACACTCCCGTGTTTACCCTCTCCGCATTAACT